AGACTTTTTATAAACATAATGAACATGATGAATGACGTCATCTGTCTGCTGTGGTATCTCTTGACAAATGTTCACAGAATTCTGTTGTAATTATAAACACATCCACCAGTCTTTTCATAATTGAGGGGAGCCACAGACCTATGCGTTTGTTTTGCTCCAAATATGTATGAATAATATTGATAGATTGCACTTGTTCAAAAGCTTAGCATACTGTTCATATTTACAATTTGTATTTAATTACTTTGGTAGGCTTTTGGATCTATGAATCATATTAAGCTTCATAGAGTTTGTACCCTGATAATTAGATTTTAGGAAAGTATTACCATCGTACAAATGTTACATTCGTAAACCAATTGTTCGTAGTTTACAGTTATACAGGTATACACTGCATCTGACATATGTTACATTCATAAATCATTTGTTGTAATTTTACATATATACTTAGTAAATATTCTAACATGCGGAACTTGTCAGAGGCAGTGTTACAATAATATCAGTTTCAAGTTTCTTTAGGGGCAGTGGGGTAGCCTAGTGGTTAAGCATTCTGGTCACTGCTAAATAGCCGCTGACCCGCTAGCCCATGGCTAGTAAAAATCCAGTCGGGTCAGTAAATCTCCACAGTCACTGGTCTGACTGGCTAGTGAATTTTCATGGGATCATTTTAAAAATATATCACTCTATCCGACTTGTTAAGTTATAATACGCTTTCAAATCATGCAAAATTATGGCCTGATTAATGTAGTCATGGTGACTCTCAATATTTATTTTTGGGAATCATTTTCAATATTTGGGAGTCATGAAAATTTAATATTTCTTTGTGTTTATAAATCAAAAAGCAAGAGTTTGGCAAATATTTTATTGTTTCATGTTGTATTGTCAATTATATAACTAGTTAGTAATATAAGTTGTATGCTTCTCTCGAGGGTAATACGGTCTGATGTACGTCTTTTTGTAGCAGTGTCACCCGCCAGTAGCAAGGATTACTGTCTCTGAGTCCATGGAGCAATCTGACAGCTCTGTCAAAGTCAATCGAAAACTATCATTGTTTGCTTATCAAACTTATTTTATTGAACTGAATTCTGAGGGTCACCCGTAAAACTTGCATCAAGCTTGACTCGTATGATAATAATTTGAGAGTCTTTTACAAAATTGTTGCGTCAAATACGCAGCAATCATGCGTCATGTAGAACCCTGTTTTCACTTGGATATGACTCTGGTTCAAATCTCAACATGGGCACAATCTGTGAAGCCCATTCTGGTGTCCCTGAAGTGATATGGATGGAATATTGCGGCATAAAACTGTGCTCACACACTCACAAATCATCAAAAAGTGTGGGTAATTCATTTTATGGTAATTTTTCTCCATTGTTCCCTCCTATAATATATAGGCCAAAGCCATACATATTGAAAATACACAGATCACTGGCCATCATGGCAGGTGGGGTAGTCTGAAGATCCGGGTTCGAGTTCTCACATGGGTACAATGTGTGAAGCCCATTTATGGTGTCCCCCGCCGTGATATTTGCTAGAATGTTGCTTAAAGCGACGCAAGACTGACTCTCTCTCTCCTCTCTCTCTCTCTCCCTCCCTCCCCCCTCTCTCTCTCTCTCCCTCCCTCCCCCCTCTCTCTCTTTCACTCACTCACTCATTCATGATCAATTCTTATCATACTATGACTGATGCCAGTTACCATTGTGTAACTTTAATCTAAATGCTAGCACACCTCCTACTGACAACTGGATCATGTGAGAGAGTGTAGGTCATTACAAGATAAGAACACTTGGACGAGCTGGTCATCAACCTCCGACAGGAAGTGGGTGAAATATGGGAGAACAATAGCCAGAGTTACAAGGCACAGACTTATCAGCAGTTAACTCACAGATAAGACCGATTCTTGCTTGTGTTACCATGGTTACTGGAGACATGTTCACTCTGACATGTTGCAGTTCTTCATGGTTGTTGGATGCAGTATTTGGAGTTGACTAGAATTATTAAAGAGGTTTGGTTCATGGAAAGTTGTTTTGATCTGTGATGTGTCAGTAAACAAGGTTTGTGATTATTTTTTATCTAAGTGCTCAGGGAAGACAATATGGGAAAGGAATGCAATGTCTTCTTAACACACACACACACACACATACATGTGCACATACACACACTGATGAAATGAACATGACACACACTGAGACAAACTGAGACACATGATCCTATTATGCGCACCTTCTCTCACACGCACACTGATGAAAATGAACATGACACACTGAGACAAACTGAGATGAACATGATCCTATTATGCTCTTTTTCTTTCTTTCCTTCTCTCACACACAGACAAACTGAGATGAACATAATGATCCTATTATGCTCTTTTTCTTTCTTTCCTTCTCTCACACACACAAACTGAGATGAACATAATGATCCTATTATGCTCTTTTTTTTTCTTTCCTTCTCTCACACACACAAACTGAGATGAACATAATGATCCTATTCTCTTTTTTTTCTTTTTCTTTCTCTTTCTCTCACACAAACTGAGATGAACATAATGATCCTATCTGTCTCCCTTTCTTTCTCTTCCTCACACACACAGAAACAAACTGAAACTACACACACACACACACACACACACACACACACACACACACACACACACACACACATACACACACACACACACTATACAGATCACCCTTCATGTCCAAGCTTGAGAGTACTACGTAGTACATAATGAAAAAACATATTTATTATATATGTGAACTCTACCATGAAAATCACCCCAGCATGTCGACCCAAATATTAATGCAAATAAGCTATCATTTTTTCCGAAGCTGTGATTAATATGATATTATGAAAGCTCAGTCCTGCGAACCGTATATGTGATTATCACGACAAGCACCTGTTGACTCACCATGTCAGTTGAGCACAGCTGCGTTTTGAAAAATTCCAACCCACATATGGCGATAAATGTTGAGATAGCGTGTTCCTATGGCAATTGGATCTTGGAATCAAAGGCAGTGATTACCATGGTTACGGAATATACAAAATTAGAGATGGTAGATGTTTTATAAATGGGAAACCGATGATGAAAGTATTTTTTCTTGTGTATCATGTAAATAAGTAAGGTTTGATTGGAAATTTTGTATAAGTATCACCATGGAAACATTTACATATCACAGGCAATATATATACATCAATACCACGGTTTATTGTCCTGATTGTTCTCTATGTTTTAATATTAAGAAAATTAGGTATGTGGTGTTGAAATGTGATTTAATTAGTGGTGGTCTGATTAATTGAAATAATCGTAGATTGGTCGCAATGACTAAACGACCAAGCAATCGATCATGTTTTCTCATAATCGAACACAAACAATTTTGGACCACTTGTTTGCAATAACAATATTTTTCAAAAGGTTGATTTTGTCTCGACATTGCATAAGCACTACAAGCTCGTTCCAAGTCATGATTAAGTATATCTTAACAACTCCAGGAAATGTATGTTCCTAACACACTAGTCATCCTTTAAATATGTGAAATTTGCAAATGCATTTTGTGCAGTTTGCTGAAAAAACAGAGAGAACTACATGTTTTTTCTTTATTTTTTGTGCATTAACAAACATAACCAGGAAAATTTGATAAATGACGCTAACCAATTATTTTCGATGATTGATCGGTTGTAATGAACCAATCATCAATTATGACATTTACACCAATTCCCAACTCTAGATTTAATGGTACAATATTTTGCTTCAAGATGTTCATGGACATGTTCCGGCTACCAGTCTGTATCACGACCGTTGCACATGGTAGACGTTTAGGCGTAGACTATGTAGATGATCATAGGTAAAGTTAAGTCCTCTGAGTGAGTGAGTTTTACGCCGCATTCAGCAATATTCCAGCCATATGGCGTCGGTCTGTAAATAATCGAGTCTGATCCAGACATTCCAGTGATCAACAGCATGAGCATCAACCTGCGCAATTAGGAACCGATGACATGTCAACCAAGCCAGCGAGCCAATTTTGGACCAAAACTATTCAAACGATTGTTACAACTTTTCTTGGAGCATTTTCATGGTCGGGTGTAATGATGATCAAATTTGGGGCTGCAACTGGTTTTCTTTGTTTGCTTATAACCAGCCTTATGAAATGAAGAATCTTAAGCTGTTCTGTCCCAAGATTCGTCTTTTTCCATAACAAACCACAATGTGACCCTTGGCATTTCTGCTGTATTGTAGACTTTCTGAGATGTTTATAGAGTCAGGGCTGGAAATAATTTTAAAATTGATAGTGTACTCTGGTACAGTGGCACATGTAAAGTCACTTGCCCTGATAAATTTCCCACTATACCGACCGTTTTCTTGTTGATTTTTTAAATAAACAACATAATTAACATTGGGAAGTCAACTGGACACCGGTACAGTGTGATGTACAAATTTGCTTGCCCGACAGAAAAACACATTGGACTCGGACGTCGGGCAATGGGTTATTTCCACCCCTGAGAGTACTTTTTGCAAATCATGTTATTGTTTGTGATTGGAAAGAGCCAATGAAAAAGCCAGTTTTATGTGTCAGATGACATAACTAAGCTTGTCATCATACCCCAATTGCATAGATTGATGCTCATGCTGTTGATCACTGTAATGACTATGTTACTGACTGCCGCCATATAGCTGGAATATTGCGGAGTGCGGCGTTAAACAACCAACACACATAACAAATTATGTGTAGAGGCACTTGAACAATGTCATCACAATGAAAGACCTACAGAACTGGTACTCCTTGTTCACTCGGTCCTGATTGTGACTTTTTGCGTTTTCAGGTTCTTTCAACTGTCGATTTCCTCAAATTTACCACTTTTCTCTTTGGTCTTCATTGACATCACGACTCCTGATTACGACTTCATGATAACTTTTTGTGTTTTCAGGTTCTTTCAACAGGCGATTTTCGCAAATGTACCACTTTTCTCTTTGGTCTTCATTACGACTTCATGATAACTTTTTGCGTTTTCAGGTACTTTCAACAGGCGATTTCCTCAAATTTACCACTTTTCTCTGACGGCAATGACAAGAGAGTGAAGAAAATGGCCGAGCTATTATCAGTGCAAGTGCACATCCCTCAACATCTGGGGAACTACTTGCAACAGGATGTTAAGAAGTCGCCGTCTGCTCTCTCGAAAATGGGATGGCTGGGAAGACGAATCTCCGGGATTCCCGGAGTCAGTTCTCCAACTTCCAGAGACGACGGCCAATAGACATCGAGTTCCGCGAGCTCATGTACACAGTGAAGGAAGGCAACAGGAGTAAAGGTGCGTGAAGTCTGTTGTTTATATACGCCCTGGATAGGGGGACCAGTTGTCTGGAGTGTTGCAGTTGGATGTGCAGAGTTGCGAATACGCAATGCCATTTAGAAAGTGGTCAAATGTAACGTGTTATATTTGGGATTACACTTTCTCAGTAAGAACAAATTCTAATACTTTTGTTAGGTTGAGTCCCATTGGGGATTTTGACCCACACTCTCAGAGTCAGACACCTAATCGCCAGCACACAAATCCAAACCGCTCAACATTTCGTGGCTGTTTTTTTTTGGACGCCGTGGTTGTTGAGTGCGTTAGACGGCTGACCTTGTGTGTTGGCCAATAATTCCTCTTAAAAGCCATTGGAATAAAATTCCCATCCAAACGACTGCTCGACTAGGTTCACTGGTCAGTGGAAAAATCATCTATATATGAAACAACCACGCAATCCATCAAACATATTTCTGAACAAATCATATTTCTTTTTCTGCCACAGCTAAGGGTTAGTTAATCAATGTGTCATATGTATTACAAGGAGGTAAGCGCAGTAGTTGGAACAGTGAAACAATTCATGTGCGGTACGTGATGAGCGTTAACTTAAACCAACACAACTTGTCTCGGGGTTTCATTTAATGTGCATAACCCCTTGTAATACAAACCAATAATAGCGATTTGAAACAATGATCGTTTGTTAAACAACTTTTATCCTAAGTTGAATAAAATTCTGAGATTTAAATGTTCAATTGGCAAGGTAAAATTATGAGGATTCGCAATCTTGATTTCACTTTATTGGATTTACTTTTTTGTTTAAAGTGAAATTCATCAGTACGTTTTCACTGCAAACAGACTATAGTTACAGATCTTTTTTATTCAGCTGAATTCACTTCTCTTAAAGAACAAGTCACTATAAGTATAATGTTGAAATAGTGCCGATGTGACGTAAAATGTTAACTCACTCAACGAACAAACAAAAACAAAATACATCTTCTTGTGGTTCTTCCTCAATGTTGTTAAATCTTATATGAATGGTTTTGATGGGCGGTCAGTTTGAAAAACAGCAGATCTGGTTAAGCTTGTATCTGCCATCTCACAGTATATAATGCTGAAGATTTAGATATAGGGCAGAGAGTCACCAGTCACAATATCACCGCTGCATAGATAATTTAGGGCAGAGAGTCACAATATCACAGCTGCATATATAATTTAGGGCAGAGAGTCACAATATATCAGCTGCATAGATAATTTAAGGCAGAGAGTCACAATATCACAGCTGCACAGATAATTTAGGGCAGAGAGTCACCAGAGTCACAATATATCAGCTGCATAGATAATTTAGGGCAGAGAGTCACAATATCACAGCTGCATAGATAATTTAGGGCAGAGAGTCACAATATATCAGCTGCATAGATAATTTAAGGCAGAGTCACAATATCACAGCTGCACAGATAATTTAGGGCAGAGAGTCACCAGAGTCACAATATCACAGCTGCATAGATAATTGAGGGCAGAGAGTCACAATATCACAGCTGCATAGATAATTTAGGGCAGAGAGTCACAATATCACAGCTGCATAGATAATTTAGGGCAGAGAGTCACAATATCACAGCTGCATAGATAATTTAGGGCAGAGAGTCACAATATATCAGCTGCATAGATAATTTAAGGCAGAGAGTCACAATATCACAGCTGCACAGATAATTTAGGGCAGAGAGTCACCAGAGTCACAATATCACAGCTGCATAGATAATTGAGGGCAGAGAGTCACAATATCACAGCTGCATAGATAATTTAGGGCAGAGAGTCACAATATCACAGCTGCATAGATAATTTAGGGCAGAGAGTCACAATATCACAGCTGCATAGATAATTTAGGGCAGAGAGTCACAATATATCAGCTGCATAGATAATTTAAGGCAGAGAGTCACAATATCACAGCTGCACAGATAATTTAGGGCAGAGAGTCACCAGAGTCACAATATCACAGCTGCATAGATAATTTAGGGCAGAGAGTCACAATATCACAGCTGCATAGATAATTTAGGGCAGAGAGTCACAATATCACAGCTGCATAGATAATTTAGGGCAGAGAGTCACAATATCACAGCTGCATAGATAATTTAGGGCAGAGAGTCACAATATATCAGCTGCATAGATAATTTAGGGCAGAGAGTCACAATATCACAGCTGCACAGATAATTTAGGGCAGAGAGTCACCAGAGTCACAATATCACAGCTGCATAGATAATTGAGGGCAGAGAGTCACAATATCACAGCTGCATAGATAATTTAGGGCAGAGAGTCACAATATCACAGCTGCATAGATAATTTAGGGCAGAGAGTCACAATATCACAGCTGCATAGATAATTTAGGGCAGAGAGTCACAATATATCAGCTGCATAGATAATTTAAGGCAGAGAGTCACAATATCACAGCTGCACAGATAATTTAGGCAGCAGAGTCACCAGAGTCACAATATCACAGCTGCATAGATAATTGAGGGCAGAGAGTCACAATATCACAGCTGCATAGATAATTTAGGGCAGAGAGTCACAATATCACAGCTGCATAGATAATTTAGGGCAGAGAGTCACAATATCACAGCTGCATAGATAATTTAGGGCAGAGAGTCACAATATATCAGCTGCATAGATAATTTAGGGCAGAGAGTCACAATATCACAGCTGCACAGATAATTTAGGGCAGAGAGTCACCAGAGTCACAATATCACAGCTGCAGCTGCATAGATAATTGAGGGCAGAGAGTCACAATATCACAGCTGCATAGATAATTTAGGGCAGAGAGTCACAATATCACAGCTGCATAGATAATTTAGGGCAGAGAGTCACAATATCACAGCTGCATAGATAATTTAGGGCAGAGAGTCACAATATATCAGCTGCATAGATAATTTAAGGCAGAGAGTCACAATATCACAGCTGCACAGATAATTTAGGGCAGAGAGTCACCAGAGTCACAATATCACAGCTGCATAGATAATTTAGGGCAGAGAGTCACAATATCACAGCTGCATAGATAATTTAGGGCAGAGAGTCACAATATCACAGCTGCATAGATAATTTAGGGCAGAGAGTCACAATATCACAGCTGCACAGATAATTTAGGGCAGAGAGTCACAATATCACAGCTGCACAGATAATTTAGGGCAGAGAGTCACAATATCACAGCTGCATAGATAATTTAGGGCAGAGAGTCACAATATCACAGCTGCATAGATAATTTAGGGCAGAGAGTCACAATATCACAGCTGCACAGATAATTTAGGGCAGAGAGTCACAATATCACAGCTGCACAGATAATTTAAGGCAGAGAGTCACCAGAGTCACAATATATCAGCTGCATAGATAATTTAAGGCAGAGAGTCACAATATCACAGCTGCGTAGATAGTTTAGGGCAGAGAGTCACCAGTCAGAAATATCACAGCTGCATAGATAATGTTCACAATGTCAGTCAATGTGGAATACTGCTAAGTGGCGTAAACTCAACTTACTCACTCACTGGATTGTGTGGAACTGGCTGCCATTGTACAGAACAGTCTGTGACCACAACTCCCATACCCTAACTTAGACTTACGACAATTGTAGAGCTAATTGTACTACAGCACCATGATTAATTACAGACCACTTCGTGTAGCTGAAATATTGCTGAGAGGAGCATTAAACTACAAACAAACACCCCTTGTTATCTTATATCACTGAGCATCTGTACTTGAGGCACTCTGATTTGATAAAGGTATCTCATATTTTATGTGTATACTTCTCAACATTTGCTAAGGAAGTCATCGTTAGTCAAAGATATGTTCCCCTGGATCTGTTGAGTAGTATATGATGCTTACAGTTGGGATTATATAGGATTTTGTGTAAGAATCGCCTTTTCCGATCCAGTGATCTTTGTTACTGCATATCTGGGTTAAGCCATGACCTACTTTATGCATTCATTTGATTATGTGTTCGCTTATATTAGGCAGAACAATGCTGATAAAGGCAATAGTCAATCTGACATGCTGTCATACAAATGATATACTGATCAAAGTGGTGTTATCTTACTCCATGAAGGGAATACGAGATCTGATTGATTCACGTGATCTTGATAAAATACTATTTGTCCTTGACTCTGAGGGAACTATGTTTCTGAGGTTGTGAATAAATCCCCTTATACCGCCATGAAGAATATAGACTTCACATGGACTTCAGAGCAAGAAAATAAATCCCTTACTCCCTGCTATGGGGAGAAATTGGCATCGGTCCGAGTTGGCGAAAGTCACGTGATGCCGTACAAGTTAACCTCAGATGTTCGAATTTTCAGTTCGCTTTAATTCTATTACAATGGCGGATTAATGGATGTCTGTAATATATACTTCTTGGTGTGCTATCGATCAGAGTACATAAGGTTTTGTGCGACCCTCATTTTATATTACTTGCCTTGGGTTCATGGTCTAAACAACGATAAAACGAGTGACGCCAAATGCCTCATATATCCATTCGATTATGGTACAACTCGTATCACACCGAGCTGATTCATGACAGGAAGTAGCCTTTCACTTATCCACCAGTCATTCTATCCGTCCACTTCTCAATGTTGACCAATTTTCTATAAAAAGAAAAGTGGGCGAAAAGAAAATTTCTGTTTAGGTGATCATGATCTGAAATGAAATTGAAAATTGGTTTCTGAAATTCACGTTTTATAGAGTTAAGCCCCTTGGTCCATGCTTTTCAAGTTAGTGCACAAAGAGATACTTATCAAGGTTGAGATTGTTGCCTTAAACTATTAAAAAATTTCCTTGAATTTCCAAGAGAATTCAGGGCGATGGGGTAGCGAGTGGTTAAAGCATCCGCTTGTCACACCGAAGACCCGGGTTTGAATCCCCACATGGGTGCAATGTGTGAAGCCCATTTCTGGTGTCCTCCGCCGTGATATTGCTTGAATATTGCTAAAAGTGGTGTAAAACTAAACTCACTCACTCACCCAAGTGTATTCTTTTGAATTTGTGCG